GCTCCAGCATTCGACGAGGAGACCATACTTCTAAGAGCCATCTTGCTCTGCGGATGGTGAAAACTCGCAAAATGAAATAGGCTATATTCACGAAATCGTCTCTTCTTGATCTTACTTCTTACTTTGCTACTTCGACAGCCAGATTTTCGGCATTGCGATAGACAGGTCGTACTAGATGCTCAAACGGTATCCTCTTAAATGCTCATGCTACTAGCCACATGGTAGTTGGGTCGAAGATTCTGCGCTTCATCTGTAACTATGTCTGTATGCAGCCACTCTAGCGGATTTTCTATCTGCCTAGCCTCAGTCTCCTCAGGATGATGTTCAACAGGGCTCAATATTCGATACATGGTCGTATTTTCGTACTCATAACTTCACTGCCGATTCGAGATCTTGCTGGTTTGGAACTTGATGTTTGCACCATTACTCTACACTTCTTCTTGTGGTCTCGCGAAGCTCGGCATTCCCCCTCCCGGCACCGCAGGTGCTTACACAGTCGTTGCAGGTGTACTCAGATGAAGACAACTTTTGTCTGAACATGTATTTCGTTGTTTTACCTGTTATGCATTTTGAGAAATCAGAAAAACATCTGGAACCCGGCGAGAAATGTTGTTTTACTTTTTGGTGTCGAGTCGATCGGCAGTTGGTCTGCTGACTTCTAACTTGGCTTGAGATGGCCCCAACTGCCAACCAACACACATCCACCCCAACCGCAGATATTTCTTGTCAGGCGCTGTATCCCACATCGCCTAAAGAGTGCGTCCATGCACAGCTGAGCTTGTGTGTCCTTTTAGTCGGAACTCAAGAAGTGGAACTAAGAATGATCGCTTCTCTGGGGATGTCAATCTATTGGTATGTGATCTTCACTTCAAGGAGACGGTGAACTAAGGACTGCAAATTGCTGGTTCGGCCTCATTTTCGCGACTTGGTCGGAGCGACAGCCAGACTTTGTGCAACGTACCAAGTCGTACGTCCTCTTCCATGGCATACATTCCGCAGTGTCCCACTGTCGTTGCGACCAAGTTGCGAAAACAAGGTAACCCAACACTATACAGCTACCAGACAAAGGGCCACATCATCTTGGTCTTCATTTCTACGAGCTGACAAGTGCGATGCTCAGAATGACCCTCTATTCGGCCAGAAGCC